GCGCGACCCGCCGCCGCCGACGCCGCCCGCCGCCGCCTCGGCCTGCCGCGCGCTCGGGCGCAATCCGCCCCCGGACAGCCCACGCGCGCTGGCCCCGCGCAGCGCCCCAGCAGCGGAGCAGCCGCGTCCTCTCGAGCTAAGAGTTTTCCGCGGGTGGCGCCGCGCGGGCTGGCTGCACTCGCGGACCGCGCGTTTCGCGGCGCGTTTCGAGCCTCGGGCGCAGCGGCGCGGCCGCCGTCGCGTCTCCTCGCCCTCCCCTCCCGCGGCACACAAATGTAAGAGGCGGGGCACGGCACCGCTCCCAGAAGTGCCACGGCGAGACCCAGCACCATCAGTCGCGGCGATATCCCTTCACTTCCAGAAGCGCGTGATGACCAACTAGATTGTTGTAGCGGCACGACGTCTCTTCAAACTCCACCCGGATGGTGCGGCCCGCTCCTTCTGCACGAGAACGTCCGTGGCTGCTGCACGCAGCAACACGTGATGGATGTCCGTAGCGGCGTGACTCACCGTCGGTTCGCGAGACGTGTCGACGGCCAGTCGGGACTTCACCCCTGACAGCAGAGTCAAGAGGATATCTCGCATTCAACGGGATGGCAGCGGTTCATCGATATGGTTCGCATCATCTTCGTACGAGGCGTGCGATAAATATTCCACCAGCTGAGTGATGCTCATCGCATCCTTAACGTCGCCGCAGCAGTGATAACCCTCGTTACATTTGATTCAGAAGATGGTCCCAGCATCTGCCCAAGTAGCGCGTGTTGCCAGCAGCGCTTTGTGCTCACCCTGCACTCTTGCCGTCGCCGACGCATCAACCACTTCCTTTCGCCGTTCGCTTTCATCAGAAACTCCCTCATCTATTGACAGTTTTCATCAGACGAACTATTGGACCTCGTGTTTTCTCCCAACCCGGTCGACAGGGTACACACACACGGCTCCCTAAATTTAAGCTTACAAGATAGAGCCAGTGTCAGGCCTCTCGTTCCACTGCAGATCTCATTGTTTGAAGCTCTTATTCCGGATTTTAAATGTGCCAAAATAGTGAATAATCGACTACAATAAGAAACATCGCAAAAACTTAAATAATTCAAGAAGTACTCAGAATATGCAGTATTAATTTTATAATAAGAAATGTGTCGTTAAGTGTTATAAAGTAGTGTGAGTGAATGACATGATGAGAGAAGAAAAGTAGATTATTTCTGAGCCGTTCGAGTGAAAATGTTAGCTAGTACCACGAGCTTTGCGGCAAGCAAATGACAGAACGATTCAGTGTAGATTATAAATATAGGAATATATTGTTTGAGTGTTCTGTATGAATCTGGGAAGTAATTTAACGTTCGTGATGTGTTCGTGAAAATGATTATAAAATTATGAATAAAAATGTACTGCCACATCTCGTACATATGCATAATGAGGAACAAGTTGCTTTTCGAATGTAAATGCAAAAGACTAGATCACCAACGCGCCACATTTCCTTTGAAGTTTTATGCATTCATTAGTCTATGAAGACGTGTTGGACGAGCCCTTGCGAGTTCGTACTTTGGACCCCTTTTTATCTCTGTCTAATTATATTCAACGCGATGGTTTATATGTTCTTCACGCACGACACCACGTTCCTTGTACATAGAAAAAGAAAAGTTTAGCATTTCATAATTCCAGGATACGTCATTTCAATTATCATGTACATAACTGCTCCAATAGTAGTTGCTAAAACACGAATATCGCAAGGCTCCAATAGCGCGTCAGTTGGTTATCTTTTATTCTGAACGTGATTGTATCAGAGAGTAGGGTCTTCTTTACTGTTCGCAACACGCAATTTCTCCCACACACAATGTGCATATGTAAAGGTAACGTTAAAGAAAGCTCGCAGATATGCGAGGTGAAATGCAGTTGATTCATGATACGCTGAGAATTAGAAGGCGATAAATTTATCGCAAAATTTAATAGCAGTTGATGAACTGTAAATAATATTGAAAGCCCGATTTTTGTTTCATCGGCATTTCACGCGCAAGTATCTGACATTTAAAATCGTTTTACCATAATACCATAGATATAAATGTCTGTACTAAATGTCATAAAAGATCTTTCTAGTTCCTATCAGGTGTACTTTTTTTCGCAGAAATTGGAAGCATTACAAACAAATAGTGGTAATTGTATTTTTTTTCTTTCGTAACTTATTAATTATTAAATCGAATCATTCATTCGATCTACTCGAGTTCAAGAAATAAGCGCATCCCAAATAATAAATGTTGTGTATAATGAATTTGTTGCTGTGATTATGTATAATGATAAACAAAAGCGCATTAGTTAGCTGTTTTAGTGTGTAGCTCACGTGTGGGACAAATAAATAATTTCAAAGTTCAATGTTTAGTTTCTTCACTCAACCTTTCTCTCCCCTTCCTGTTCTCCTTGGAAGTACATCCTTTCAGAGTTTAGGGCTTTCTTTCACAGAAACCTTCGAAGTACTCAATTGTCTGCAGAAGAGGACATGGCAGTACACGCAGTTGGCTGTTGTAGGTAAGCTATCACTGATACTGGCTTATTTTTACTTGCTTCTTTCTCTCTACAATAATTTTTCAATCATTTGTTCACAGTAACTGAAGATGCTTTACCACCAATTTGTTAACCAGTACTTTTATTTAATATTTTAGAGTAAGTGTAATATCATTGTGCACTAACAAACTAATGTTATATCATTATGTGAAGTCTTTTAAGTCTAAGAGGCAGCTTTTATTATTCTGATGGGTATGAGACCCCAAAATATTTAGGATTTAAAATATTGAAGAGCTGTTCTCTAATACTATTTTTCCAACATATTTGTTACCATATGTTCATTTTTGAAATTATTTTTAGACATTGTAGCTAAAAGCCAATTTTTTTAGTTTGGCTTGTTCATAAAACAGTGAATTCAATAAATCAAATACACAAACATTTTAAATTTATGTTCATGAAATATTTGCATTAAATGATTTATCCAAATTTTTTTCAATGAAAAATTAATATAACATCTGCAATTTCTCTAATGTTTTAAAATACTGTCTATCAAGTCAGAAACATTAAGAAAATTTACACATCGATATTAAACGAAAATTCTGCATTTTCTTAAAATTATTAACTAATTTGCCTGTACACTTACTATGCTTTGAGAGGCAAAAGAAACAATGAGGTCAATTTGTATTTTGATCTGTGTATTGCAAAGAACAACAAAGAGCTGTTATTTCCTATTCCTGTTCACATAAAACTAGAACTTAATGGAAAATGTATTACTGAACACTTGGGTGGGAGAATAAAAGGAATTATTTAAGAAAACAGCATTGAAATTCATACATTTATGCGTATAATGCAACAATATAACAAAACATATTAAAATATACTCCATCGTAGCCATCAACATTATTTAAAAGCTACAAATTTATTTACAAATAAGCTCGAATCCATAGCATAAACTTCATAACAGTAAATATATTATTCTAAAATATGTAAATATCAGCAGAGGCATTTGCAATACAGTAAGTCTCCTAATGTTAAAGATATGAGGCACAAAATTGCTTCAGTAAACAATGGAATAGTTACGTACGTTAGTTATTACAATTTCCCGCGAAAGAGATCTATAAAAGATATTGGGGAGACGAAATATCCGCCCCCACGACACGAAGGGGAGTAAGGGTGAGAGGAGAAGGGGAGGCTGCAACACGGCGTCGCGCGGGGAAGCAAGCAGCGACGGAGAGGCGGGAAGGGGAGGGGAGGGGAGGGGAGGGACAGGTGAGGAGGGTGTTCTTTCGCTCTGCTTCGCGAGAGGGCGGTCAGCATGCCAACGCGCAATGCAAGCACCACACCGCGATGCACAAGCGAGGCAGAGAGACAGATAGAGAGGCGTTACTTGCGTTACAGGGAGAGACAAAGCACAACACATCTAGGACGGTGAACATCTGGCAAGGACAATTAAAACAGCTTACTGGTCTTACATGACGACGAAACGAACGTGTCAGGATCCAAGAACACCGCGTATGTAGGGCTAAGTAGCAAGAGAAAGGCCTATGATCCAGAAGAGCCGCTGACTAGTTTTGGATCGCGCCGCTCCTTTGGGAGGTAGAGACCGGCGCGGGGTTCGAGCCCAGGGACGGGAGGACCAATGAGAGAGTTCGCGGTCGGGAATAGTGACGGCGCGGGTTTCGAACACAGGGTAATGGGGATGGGTGATCGCGGCCCCACAGAGGAAAGCAGAACGGTGAGCACGGACCTGAGCTCATCGTTGGCTGCCCCCTACGGCTCCAGCGCGGCAAGAGGCTGTCGGCGTACTTTCCCGAGCTGCAGATTGCCTTCCCTTGCACTCGAGTAATACGCTTCCTTTATAACACACGATATCGGAGATTTGGTGGAGGCGGGCGTGCGCAATATGGCGTAAGTTCTGGAATCTGCGCGTGCGCGCTTTGGCTAAATCTCCGAAGTCGTGACGAGGGAGCGTGGAAATGGCGAGTGCGGGGAAGCAGCACGGGTCTGCGGTTCGAGGCGAAGGTGGGGCGGGCCGACAGCCGGCGCGCCGCGGGCAGGCCCGCGCGCAGAATTGTCGCCCCGCGGCTCAACAGCACGGCCTAGTCAGCTTGCTGGCGAAGCTCTCGGGTGCTGGAGGCCGTGTCGGGGCGGCGGCCGGTTGCGCGGGTGGGCGGGTCGGCGGTCGGGGTCGGTGCGGCGCGGAGGGGCCGGTGCGGGAAAGCCGATGGGGCGAGAACAGCGGAAGCAGGCGAGGCGGCGCGCGCGCCGCGACTCCGAACATTACGCTGTCGGGGCTGGCGTGCCGTCCGTCGGGAGCGACACGTCCACCAGCAGGCGGCGTGCGCTCCGAGCCCGCGCCGCTTCGCCGCGAAGCCCCTCGGCCAGAGCCGCGCGCAGCTAGGCAGCGTGCGCCCGCGGCAGGTGGTGGCACTGCGCGCCGCCGGACAGCGGCCCCCGCCGCCGGGACGCGGCCACTGCGGCGCGTCGCAGCGCACGGCTGTTCCGCCGCTCCGGGAAGCAGTAGAGGCGCGCGGCGGGAACGGCGGCCGGCGGCGCTGCAGGTACAGCTGCGCGCCCGTCCCCGCCACCGCCAGCGTCAGCCACGTCAGGATCAGCAGCAGGTCTGCGCAGTCAAACAGTTCACAATTCAAACACGCGCCGTCTCTCGGAACTTCTACAGCATCAATTGATGTCTCTGCAGGGCCTGTGATCGCGAGGTCCTACGGTTCGAGTTCCGACGATCGCGGGATTTTCGACACAAGCTACATGGTCCAGTTCCACCACTGTCTGGAGGAAAATTCTATCGGTCGGCTGCTCTAATCGGTAGTTTTCCGTGGTTTCTCCTCTCTACACCAGACGAATGCTGGGGTATTAGTCTAACAAACGGGCCACGGACCGCGCGCAATCATTCCTTCCTTTTTCCTTGCCCTATCCTCACCCCCTTACACACACTACACATGCCGGTAGCTTTGAATTAGTACCGGCTGATGCGGTGCCCCGCTGGTGGGATACAAGGTTGGGAAAAAACCCGCAAGCCGTTCGGTAGGTCGGTTCCGGATTTCGCCATCCAGCAGGGGAGGGGGGAGATCGCGTCCATCTCCCGCGCTAAAAACATGCACTATACTGACTGAACTAATTACCTTACCAACTGATGAGCCCGAATCACTAATCCAGTAATCAATCGGATCATTTATATTGCATGGAATATCATACGTCAACCTATTTATTATTGGAAGTAAAATTCACCATTAGCACATACCGGAAACATGTCTATCGCAAACTTCAGTGGCTGTTTCTCAGGGGAGGAAAAGAAGGAAAGTCCTCACAAACTCTCTCCTTTTTCGGAATGTAATCACCAAATAAAATATTTACTTTGATGTTTGAAGTATTTTTTTTTTTAAATCGCACCTATGAGGAAATTTATTTTGACGGACTTTTAAACATTGCAAATTTTTAATCCTCGTTCAGTCGATTATAAATCGCTCTGAGAAGGAATTAACAGGTCTTGCCTCCTCACATGAGTTTATTGGGCATATCGCACCGCGTTCCTTCGGCAAGAAGAGAAAATGTTTATTAATTCAAGGGAGGATATCCTCCTCTATTGTACTGCTATCTACAGTCATCGTTGTCATCAATACTATCGCTTAAGGGGGCTATCGGAAGCCCGTGAAAACAGGAAAATTGGACTGAGAGATATTTCTCTCTTATCCCATTACAAGTCGACGCGTGTTAATTTGTTTCATTTGAAGTAGATAACACAATTGTCTTCCTTGTCTTTCCTCATTTCAAGAAAAGCGCACGAGCCGCCACGCGGTATCTTTATTTTGGGGATCCTGAAATAACATTTCAACTACGTCCCTAATCAGATATGTTTACTCTTATTATCTTAGGATTAACGGCAACTTGAATCACGAGTTTACTCGGCAAGACAATGAAACATGGTGCTCGGTGAAACATTTTACTGAAGCAAACCATGATTCACTATAAATCTACAATATTTTGAGCTCGTCGTTAAAACGGAAATGTGTACAAGCACAAGTACCCGCGTTACTCGACTATTTATTACAGCCACCTATTAGACGGGAAAAGGAATTCATTATATCTATAATATATTCAATCACCTTATTCGAAACCAAGAGACATCAAAAAGCAGAAAGATCCAGGACTCCGAAATGTCCGTTTATCTCGTTTCGTCAACGCGGGCCAGAAATTAAACCTCGCCGAACAGACCGTACGTGACACGACCTACTCTGGTAAACGATTCAATGAATTCTCCAAATACACAATCACAAACGCGACAAAACGTACGGAAAAAGAACAAAACGGGTTCGGGGCAGGGGTAGGGGGTCTCTTGATTGAGGGAGCGCCGGGGCGCAGCAGATGACCTCTCCCGTCGCGAAGGCGTGTCGCCGGGGCGCGCGTGCCGGGATACAAGATAACGGGGCGAGGCGGGGCGAGGCTGGGCGACGGGGGCGTATGGCGGGCGGTGGCGGTGCCTATCGCGGCCAACGAACCGCGCGCGAGCACGGCCAGCGCCCGTCAGCGAAATCGCCCAGAGCAAACGGAAAGGCCGGCGCGCCACACAAGCGACTCAGGCTGCCCCGAGGAGAGGGTGTGCGGCCCTCGCATGCGCCCGTCCGGAAAAAACCGGACGCGTCCAAGCGGCCGGCGATTCGGCGGATTTTGCGAAGCGGTTCTACTTACTTCTTCTTACCTTCTACAGCACATTTACGGGCGGCATTTTACGAGACTGACATACACCCGAATCTCGGCCTCGGTATTTGGAGCAGGAGGAGCAACGTACTTCCCATTGTAGGGGTTCTAATTAACTACGTAACGATAAATTGAAATGAAATTCGAATAACAAGTTTAAATGAATGGCGAATCTATCAACTTAATATTTCGTTGACTTCAGTATTACTTACAATACAATTACACATTTTACGAATGTAAAGTTTTGAAGAAATGGGATACTAATAGGGCGAGATCTAACAAAATGCCAGATCGCACTAAGCCTACTCAAATTAAATCTTAACTTTAAAAAATGTCGTAACTAGAGGAAAATAATCCAATAGTATTGAATTTTTCGATTTAAAGATATCTCACATATTCTCAAAGCTATTCGAAATGTTTATTGAATTTTGTTTCGATAATTTCTTCTTATTGACCTCTTAATTACACATTTTTACAAATATAAAAAAAATCGAGTGCATCGGATTTTGGATATTCTGCGAATCCTCTTTCCAGTCATCACTCACAGATAACGAAGGTTCCACTTTACTAAAAATTTCATTGGTGAATTTTCGCCTCAAACATTTCAAATGACAACCAAATTTTTAATAGTTCTGCAAAGAAAGATTCATTTTACCAGTGAAGTTAAAATTAATATGGTTTGAGAGACATTACCTTCAACAACTTTTAATAATGTGCCTTTGGATTCTACATGATAAGTAAAGTGCAATAAAGAGCCATAATAGTGTTGAAGACTATGTATTGGTCTTTATGAATTCGCAGATATCTGTAGAATCTTCCTACTACTGAAAAATTACGGTACTACAGAATGGCGCAGGCTCTCTCGAACTAGTTACTTTTTCTCCTTAGCCTTGGCCTACTTTTCCCAGCTACCATTTATCTCGCATCTAAAAGTCATCTTTTCACAATTTCTCAAAGTTTGGGTACCCTAATGGTAGAACTTAGGTAGAATATTAGTATATTATAGAATGGTAGAATATTACTTTAAGAATAATGTGGAAAAGTAAAAGTACCGTTTGTGCAAATTTTCGTTGAAAATTTGAAGCCGTTTTTGAGAAAATGGCGTTAGAGCGTTTCTGAAAATACGCAATTTTGAATTCATTTTCAGAGAAAACTTTTGAAATGTTGAGAAACTTCATTGTAAATTACTTCTACTCACAAACGCAATAACGAATACAAATCGCTAATAATGTAAATATTAAGAAAGTGAGAAATTTTGTGACTTGAGCGGTTTTTCATGAAATCTAGTTTTTAATATTACTCATATTTTACTCAACATTACGCGAAAACAACTAAACCGAATTTTCGAAAACAAAAAGTACATAAAAATAATTAATGAACAAATTTCGTTTAACGAAAAAATATGTTGTAAGTCGTAGTTTTAGGAAGATGCCGAAAAAATTCGAACATTCGTATTGTTCGAAAATTCTGAATTAACAATGAAATTGGACCTGTGCTTTTTTTTTTTTTTTTTTTTTTTTTTTTTTTTTTTTTTTTTTTGTAAAGTACTCCCAAAATTGAAAGATTATTTTTCAAAATCTCTGAGCTTCGTGTCCGTCCAATTCGTTTGGGGAATATTCATTTCGGGTAAAATCCTTCTAATAGTTTAGGCGCTAGAGCTGTTCACCGACGTAGATGGGCGGGCGCAGGGGCGCAGGGATGGTCGACGGTCGGCCGGAAGATTGAGGGTGGTTGTTCGGTGTCACAAGATTCCAAAACATGCATTTCCATTGAAATTTACGCAGAGGATAATAGCAGAGCATTAATAACTTTCTCCATAATATTATCCATATACACTTATATGTACTGTATACGAGGAAATAAAAACTCTTAACAAACACTTCCTACAATTTACCTAACAAGAAATGAAAAATATTTAATCAGATAACAGAATAAATGAAAACACAGTTTTGCTTACTGATGTGTTATGGTGGGTACAACCAAACAAGAAAATGAATCAATTAGCTTACAATAGAAAATGCCATGTTGTTACTTCCATAAAAAATTCAAGACATTTTTATTTACATAACAATAAGAATTGTATTCAGAAAACCAAACAGCTGAATTAACCTACCTGTAATTTCAAAGGGTGGGTCAATTGCAGCTAGTCGGAAGTCACTGTTAATAGCTCGTCTCATAGTGTTCAGAAAAATGTACTTTAAATTTGACCCGACATAATGGTCAATGGGAGCAATGAACACATAGGCTCCCAAAGTAGCACATGCAACCATATTTCCCACGTGCATTGCTGAACTGAATAGAACTGGTACAGTGATTGTGATGCTTGTAAACACTGACCAGAAACTGAAGTCATACACCACCCATGGAACACTCCCTACAATGAACAAAACACATCACTATACCACTTGTAAATAGATGTCACGAAAAATAATCATGTGAATTTTATAAGAGGACATGGTTTGACCTAATTCCTAGAACCACGTGAATAGTTTTCTATAACAAAACGTAGTGCAACAGTAACCATGAAATGGCCAATAAAATTATTGTTTCAGTTTCTTCTGTATGTAATCAATGATATCAAATTCGCACTGAAGATCTTAAAATTGATTTAATTATATGTACAATATGATGGCACATGAATTTCAACATCATTATTAATAAAGTATTACATTATAAATAAATGTTAACACAGTGAGTGCATGTGCCTTTTACAAGCATTCAATAATAGGATTTGGTTATTTTGCACACAAAAAAATTGTTTAAACTTGAAATTAATGTAGTCATCTTCCTGAAAACATGAGAACTTACCTAATCCTGCAAACATAATAGCAGAAGCTAACAAAAAACCAAGAGCCAAGGTTGATGATAATGCAGCAATGACTGGTACACCAAAAATTAGCCAAAGAAACCACCAAAGTACAGCAAGTATGAATCCAACTAATACTCCCAACATATCTGTGCCTAAAAAAATATGAATTTACTTTAAGACAAAGAAGTAATTTTAATAATATTAGGATAAAGTAACTTATATTATAAATAATTTCAAAAACATTAGAATAACTAAACTCACCATAGCCAATACCATAATTCATTCCAAGTATTATACATGAAAGAACAGTTCCCCACAAGAAACTCACTAACGTTGATCCAGCTACAAATTTTCTGTGACCACACATACAGATGAACAGACCAATGAAGAGCATAGATGCACACAGCACTTCAGAAAACGGTATAGCTGCAAAAGCAAGAGTGGTCATGACACATTTGTGTTTCTCACACACACACACATACACACACACACACTTAGTATCTTCTGCACTAATAGAGAATAACTCACTGAATATTTCGCAGTCATCATACATATTAATTTTGTTGCCGCACGCATAAGTAACAGCTGGCACATAAGCAGCCACTCTTCCATTCTGTGATCTCGCGACAACACCGTACACTGACCCAGTACCAGGGTATGCTGCACGAATCCTGAGCAATGGTCCTCTTTCTGGTGGTGGTTGTATCTATGACATCAAAATATAAAATATATAATACACTTGTTAGGAATCATAAATTACATATAAAAAAAGTGAGGTTAGATTCGCTGTTATTAGAAAATTGAAATATAAATATTGGTAAAATAACTAGAACTAAATTGATCTGTCAGAAAGCTGAATATTAAAAGTTTGAGTCAAATTAATGATTTGATTACTAACCAATGTGCCCAGTTCCTGCATGGTTTCAACTGACATCATTTTTTCGAGAGCATCAAAATAGGAGTCACTTGAAAAGTCTTTCTCATCCATGTACATATGATATACTTCTAACTCAACTGGTGAGGGAAACGAGTCACATTCCTCATCTTGTCCTGTAAATGCAGCTGGTTGCATGGCCATTGTGACAACAGCATCATTATAAGAAAGTAGTAAATAGGGTGCAATTTCAACCGAAAATTCTCTGTTGCATCCCCCAGGAATAGGATCTAATAAACAACAATACAACCGTTAATAAAAAAATTTAGATTCTACTTATGTCCTTATTTGCTAATTATTATTGTATAATTACTTACCATCCTCTTGATACGCTTCAAATGCAATAATACACAACACTTTAACCTTGTTGTGATTAACTATAAAGAACTGCATGTTATGTGGAGGCATTCCTGTGTTTTGTTTCACTAATCCAAGATTAGTACCGTTGATGAACGAGGATGGTGACAAGTCATCATTAGCCAGAGAAACATTGTATTTATAAGAATGGACTTGTGTTACAACAAATGAAACATAAGCAGGAACATCCAGTAATTGAAAAGAGACTCTGCTGCGTGGTGCCATTACAATCTTTTTAACAATGAGTTTATGAGTGATATCATCAGTTTCATTTTTAAGAGGCAGTATAATGCGTTCTCCATCTAAAAGAAAAATATGTAATGTATCCATGTAAAATATAAAATGTATCCATTAACTAATTTATACTAAGTCAACTGTTAAAGTGATCAGTAAGAATGTAAACAAAGATCATTTATGGGTAATTTTATTTCCTGTTTGAATTAACATCTTGGTTACAATTCAATATATACAGGAATTTAAATAAGAACAAAATCCATGAAATGATTCTAAATATTTTTGAAAATAACTCAAAATGATTATTTCTGGGCAAGTTTTCTACAAGTAGGGCATAAATATTTACCTTTGAATTCATAGCCACTTCCATCAAAAAACAATAATGAAGAACAACACGACAGTAAGCACACAAATACTAACACACTTGGAGATGATTTAACCATCATTGTCTCTGAATGCTACAAATCTGGCATTGAGAACAGCAGTAACATACACTGCACTTGTTTAACATATTAAACACAAGTCCTGTGACCATTACGCTCCCCTGCCTTTCAGCTGTTTTCTGTTTCGGTGAAAGCCTACTACGAGCGCGGCAGTCGCTTTCAACATGGTGGTGATGGATCAATGAAATTTGTGGTAGAGTAGATGTAGTGTTAAGTGTGTATTTAATTATTTCGTATTATGTGTACACTGGACGAGTAAATGGGCCATGGGAAAGGACCAAGAGCTGTTGGAAGCAGCCCGAAATGGAAATGTTCCAGTGGTGGAGAAAATACTCAGCCAAAGAGCCAAGAGGAGTGGCCCTCTTGCAAGGTGGGTTGTAACAGTTACATTTTTAGGTTGCCTTAAAATTGTTCAAATCTACAAAAAAAGATGGCAGTAAAAGTATTAAGTTGTAAAAGGTAACTTAATTTATTCTCAAAGTTTAGAACTCAGAAAAATTTTAATAATAATATAATGCCACTTGCAATATTATCTAAAAATTGTAAGTCACATCTGTTTGACAGCTACCTTGATATGAATGTTTCATGTGATTCTGTTGTGGAATTGTGATTGTAAATAACATTTTAATTTAATTTTAATTCACAATCTGTGAAATTGTTGCAATTTTTTTGTTTTCTTATGATTATCATTTGAAGGTGGAAGATTTAGGGTTAAAGATTTCTTTTGCGTTGTGTGAACGATTACTTCATTCTGTAATTGATTAACAGTTCAAAGGAATTTTTGGGATATTTTATGGGTTATTTATATATTAAAAAAAAATGTAAGGGATGTGTTGTAATTGATTCAAACAAATGAAAGGGCACGATTTTGCTCTGTACTCTCTCTTGTTTAAAGTGATAAAGCATATTTTCTTCAAGTGTACTTGCTTATCAGATTAGTATCAAACAGGTGCAGAGTTTGTATTTTTTTTTTCCCCAGAAACTCTGTTTTCAGTTTATCAAAATAGGAATTGTCCATCTTAATTGCCAAAGAGAGAACTATATTTTGTTGAAATCCTATAATAATAGATTTATCTTTATTCAGTTTTGTGATTATAAATGACGCATTAGAAATATTGTTTGCTCTAAAAGTACTTAATAAGTGTGAGAGAATTTTGACAGCCAGGTGTGGAATGCATGTTGTCATGTGAGGAAAGAGACATTTTTTACTCTTAGAGTAATATCTTAAATCACACATTGCATTTAAAAGCACATACAACCTCCCAATTAGCTCTCAGGAAACAAAAATTCAGCCTGTAAACAAATAAATAATGAGTGGATAAACAAACAATTAAATGTATACTTTGAATATAACATTCATGTGTACATACTCAATGCTATCATTTATGGAATTAAGCCCTTATTTTGTATTCCTTAAATAAATAATTAATTTTTATGCATACAAATCTAACAGGTGTTGACTTTTTCATCGGCTATTATTTGTTGCAGTCCTGTTTTCAATACCATTAATTATCCAAACACGAGTATGCAGTCTGATGTTTGAACGTTTAAAAATGGATTAATTCACTTTTTACTAATTTCCAGGAAAGGCAGGGGGTGGTTTTGGTTGGGTCGGGTGGGGGAGTCTTTGAGCGTCGCGTCCGTGGATTCGCAAGGGGCGGGGCGGGGAAGGGCGCGGCTTGCCTCACCCTCGCTGCCCCGCCCCGCCCGGCATCGGCCGCGCAAACGGGCGGGGAGGGGGGTGCGTTGGGTGCCAACAGAGAGAGCGGGGCTCTGCTGCCAGGGGCCAAGCTTACTGCGTCCAGCAAGCGACTATGTTTTCTGTTGTGGGGGGGAAACGAAAACGCGATGGATTGGGTTACTTTAACTATCACGTGCTGTGTTTTCGGTTTACATTCGATTCAGCAGTGTGTCTTTAAAATTGAGTCGTGAACGTGTCATTGATGACTTCAGTGATGACACCATTGGCACCAAATGAATTGATACCATTTACGATAATTGGTCACGATGTAAGACGTTAGTGCGAGAAAGAGAAAGGAGACAGGCCGACTGACAGGACAGCGTATCAATAATTTCCAAGAGAAAACGAAATTGTTCCATGTCAGTACCGGCATTGGTTTAAAAAAATACATTTTAGAGGAAAATTTTCGTATTGATGGGTAGAGATCGAAGATACGTAAACTGCTAGAGACCTTAGATACGGGATCAGAATGTCTTGGTCGCACCACTGTACGTCATTCACAACTTTTATCTGTTTCGACGTCAAACAAACAAATAGCGTCACCGTTCATAATCGACATAAATCCGAGGACGTAGCATTGCTCGACGCATCAGATCGGGGGAGCCGCCCGTGCCGTTCCTGACGCCGCCGCCCCTGCGCGCCGAAGAGCTCGTTTCCTCCTAAGCAGCACACGCGCGCAACCCCTCCCCGCCCCCTTGCGTAAGCACCTGCGCGTCCGCCCCGCTCCGCCCCGCCCCCTTCGCGGAAGCCCCGCCGCCGTTCGGGCAGGCCGGCTCGCCTTCCTTATCGCCCGCGGCTTCTCGATAGCGTGCGACTCCTGAGTCATCGCTCAGCGTGACCGTGGAGGTGGCTGCGCGGCGGGACCGTGCGAACCGCGCCGCCCGCCTCCCATCCTTGAAGGCGACGCGCCTGCAAGGCCGAAACGCGCGGAAGTCGTATGGATGCCGCGGGCTTGCAGCGCCTGTAGGGGACGTGGCGAGATGGGCGGAAGGGATTTGACAAATCACTTTTGAAATTCTAAAGAATTTACTTTTTTTTTAATGTTGAGGACAATATTCTTCGTGTCTTCCGGGCTGATGGGCCGTGGTCCAATTGGCTTTGAACTGCCTAACGTTTCGCCCACGCCTGCGGTGGGCATCCTTACTGGCCGTCCCGGACACTTCGCCCGAGACCTCGCCACTGAGGAAGCCCACCACAATCGCGGGCGAAGCGTTTGGCAGTTCAAAGCCAATTGGAACACGGTCCATCGGCCCGGAAGACATGAAGAATATTGACTCCGGCCGTGAAAGCCTTCAATGTTGTGGGCAATGTTTGAATACTGTGAGCAAATATTAAATCGATTGGCACAATAACACGGAAGAGAAGTCAGAAGTTTTCTTTCCCCACATCCATAGAATGCGCTCTCGTTTAGGGTGTGAATATTGAAAGTGCTCTCTGAATAGAACTTCATTAGATTTGAAGATAGTAAATTCGGACACAAACTACATTAGACGAATCAGATAAATAGAAGAAATGTCTCATTCTCCGGAACTACCCATTTATGGGACTACATACTACAAAGTGAATAGTAAGTGACATTATGGATATAATGAATAAGAAATGATATACAGAAGTTGAGGAGTTTTAGAACTCGTGTCTTCTGGGTCGTGAGCTGTCTACAAATGTATATTTGCTCTGAAATCCATTAGGATTGCCGAGTGACATTTTCAATTAATATTCGGGTCCGTTATTTTACAAAATAATGGTTGTTAACATATTTCAGTTTTGTCAATTAGCTACGAGCATTTGGCTAAATTGACGATGCCATTTAGTTTCTATCACTACTCAGACCCGGGGTTTACGGGCTTGTCCTTGCCCAGAGGAGAATCGTCTTCCATCGGAGGGAAGGGCTGCAGCGGGTGGATGGCGAACTGAGATCGCTTGCGTTTTATACTCCGTTTCTTGCGTGAGGGCCTGTTGAGCCCGCACGGTTTCCCCCGCATTGAACTGCTCTTTCTGAGCGCGCCCTGGATCTGCCGTGGGGGGGGGTCTCTTCCGGCCACAGGAGGCGCTCGTAAAGGCACCCTGCTGGTCCGTCGGCCACCCTGCTCGCCCACGCGTGGCCCCTTCGCTTCAGCCTCTGTGTTGTTCTACGCACGCCACCCCCTCACCCGCCCCACTCTCCATCGTTCTGCCCCGCCCTGCCCTGCCTTGCTTGTCTTGCCCTAGTTCTGCCCTGCCGTGCACTGGTCGCCCTGTCTGCAGCCCAGTCCTGCCTTGCCCTGCCTGCACATTCCTCCCTGCGTACACATGCCCTGGTAACTGCTCTGCTTTGTCCTGCATTGCTTTTGCCCTTGCCTTGGCCTTGCCTTGCCCTGCTTACCTCGCCCTTGCCTCGCTCGCCTTGCCCTTGACCGCCCCGCCCCCCCCGCCGCGCCCCGCTGCATTCCGCTCAACCCCTGGCTGCCCTACTCTTCCTGAACATGCGCCTCCCCGCCCTGCCCCGCCTTGCACCGCGCTTGCCCTGCCTTGCCCTGCCTGCCCCTGCCCCTGCCCTGCCACTGCCCTGCCATGCCATGCCTCTCATGCCCTGCCATGCCTGCCCTGCCCTTGCCTGCCCTGCCCTGCCCCCGCCCTGCCCTCCGCTGCTCATGCCATGCCATGCTGCATGCCAATGCCATCCCTTCCCTGCCCTGCCCTGCCTGCCCTGCCCTGCCCTGCCTGCCCTGCCCTGCCCTGCCCTGCCATGCCTGTCCTTTCCTGTCCTGGTCCTGCCATCCCTCCCTTCCCCTCCCTGATTCCGTCCTTGCCCAGCCGAAGCCTGCCTACCCGTCTCCACCCATTCCCCCTGCCCTGCCATTGCCATGCCCTGACATGCTCTTCCACCCTACGCCGGCTCCCATCCCCGCACCCATCCACCCTGATTATTGTAATCAACTCATTTCTGATAATTTTAATACTAATAATTATTAAAATAGCCACCAGCCTCTCCTTGCCCAATGCGAGTGAGGGTGCAAAGCCGCGTCTGCAGAGGTGACTTCACACAAAATATCACACTCTTCCAACGTTGCCATGTCTCCACGTATCGTGCAAATCAGAGGCAAGTCTGTCAATGTAAAGACTAATTTCGGTAGTATCTTTCATTAATGGTAGGGAATCTGTTTTGTTTCTGTAAATCGTTTTAGAAGAGTTTGTCCCGCTTCATGTTATTGTTGTGCCATCCCTGAAAGAACCGTTTGCTTGATCAGCTCTGCTTCGTCTTGAGAAAAGTTTGATTACAGTTCCTCTCTTACTTCCCTTTTCTTTGAGTATTGAGGATTCTGTGGGGAATCAAAGTCAAGATTGTAAGTTTATTCTCCTTATTCTTCGCTGCTTGGGAGTTACTATTTAAACGTCGTGCCAATGGGCCAGATGGATTACACATGTCGGAAGACCAGCGAGGGGGCGGAAGCAGTCCTTTAGCGGCAAGAGGAAGGCCACCAGAGGCTGGCCCTCCTCAAGGGCCGGGGTGGACTGGTCTCGGAACGCGGGTGTCAACTGGCGCAGAGGGAGATATTGGGTGAGTCAAGCGCGGTGCAGCTGGCTCTAAATTGCAAACGGGCCCACGTTTCGGGATGAGACGACGCCGCCACCATGGGAGGTTTGTCACG